TAATAGCCGAACATAAAGCAAATGACATAAAGAATTACATAGATATAACTGTAACTTTTTGCTGTTAGCATACTTATCATTACTGGATGGTACTAAATATGTTGTCCTCGAATGCACCTAAGCAGCTCTGGGGGGAGAGGAAACTTCAAAAAGTAATTTTAAGTTTGAGTTTGAGTTTGAGTAAAGACACAGCAAAGTTCATACTCGCACTAATAGGGGCAAAGATCTGCCTAATTCCCATGTTGAATCTACCTTTCGTGAGCGATTTATCTCTCTCCTGAATACCATTATACATCCGAGTGCATTTGCTTCTAGTTTTTGAGAGCCTCTAAAATAAATACACCCGAAGACATAGAAAAAGCTTTCCGTAGCTCTTTTTCTGAGGAAAGATTATAGTAACACTTGCAAAGATGTTTCTCTGACAATACTGAACACAAGTAGGCAAGCGGTTGCCACCAGCTCAAACCTGTAAAGGAAAAAGCTTTTGAAAAGTCTCCATAAAATTATTTCACATTTTGACCTCACTCTCATGAAGTTTCATTAGGTAAGTGGAGTATTAATTTGTATCAGGCTGTTGCGGGGAAGGAATTTTCATCAAACTGATGTAAGCCTACGTGTGTATGTTTTTTTACCTTGGCTGGTTGAACTGATGAGTTCGAAATGCATTGTCTGATTAACTGAAAGTTTCTCCACAATAATATTTTGTAGTTAGGTACAATATTAGGTATTTGAAGCCTTCTTTGATCTTCTAGATTCACCATCGATAGTACGTCATATTCTCTTTGGAAATCAGAAGTTGTTCATCTTAGCTTGTTACCGGAAACTAGAGTTATTTCCCTTTAACTAAAGCATGAAAAGTAAACACCGGGTGAAAAGTACTCTCCTAAGCTCGACTATGAACGCCGAGGTATAAAATCGGTTTAGTGTTTTAGCCTGAATCTGCAACAAAGATCCACGTTTAAGTGCTCTACAGAGAGAAAGAGCAATTGACGTCTGGAGACTGGAGAGAGGCCAATTGTGGTCGTCAATCATTTTGGTGTTCATAGCTCGACTATCCACAGACTGATAACCCGTTTTCAGCTAACGAATTCTATGGCGGACTGACAGAGGTCAGGTCGACCCAGAGTGAATGATGCACATTCAGACAGACGCATCATCCAGATGCATCGTGCAAATCGAGTTCAGACAGCTACGAAAACATCAGATTTGGTAAGGAGTACCCTCGGAAGAGCCTTAAGTCGACACATAGTGAACCGACGATTGCACCAGGTAGGCCTTACCATGGTCCAGTCTTGACCTCATGCCATCGCCAGGAATGTCTGAACTGGGCTCAGCACCATGTCAACTGGCGTCTGAGAGACTGGTCTTCGAACGAATGCCTTTTCTCCATAGATACAACAAACAGGTGCCTCAGAGTTTATCGAGAGAGAGACAAACGTTATCGAGACAACTGTGTCATTGAGAAGAATAGTTGGGGAGGACATCGCGAGATGGTCTGGGGTGGAATCATGTGGAACAGCAAAGTAGGATCAGTGATCTTCCAACATCAAGATCAAGTAGTCAATGCTGACCGCTACATAGGTGTTCTTAGACCCCATGCATTGCCTCTACAGAAATAAAAATTTGAACTTCCGGCTCCAGCAAGAAAATGCTCGTGCGCACACTGCCAGTGCTACACAGGATTCCCTTCAACGCCATGGAATCACACTGCAGCCTCACCCTGCCATTAGCCCGGATTTAAACCCACTTTGGGACGAAGTTAAACGACGCCTCGAAGGGGGGCAACCAATGCCTAAAACCGCGCTGAAACTGAAAGAAGCCATCCAGGAGATCTATAGGCAGATCCTGCTACGTGTTACCAACAACCTAGTGGCTTCCATGTACCGGAAATGTACTGCAGTTATCAGATATGAAGATGACAATACCCACTGCTACTGAACCTTTTTATGCATTAACAGTAATAACAGTAAGTTGAAAATGTATTCGGTTGAAATTTACTGTTCACAATGATGCCCCACGTATCCTTTCATGATGCTAGAAAACAGTTTGTGTTTAAATTCCCGCGTTCAATAATGAACTCACTCACTTATTTTCTCCCTATACCGTCAGGTATATAAGGCGGAGAGCAGTCGACGCCATGCTTGTCTGTCCCGAGCCGTTTTCTCCAATTTCGGCACATCTAGTCATTGGGTGATTTTCTCTTCTCTTATTGTGCCTCTACAGTTTCCAGTTCGTCTTCCCCTCTTCCTCTTTCCAGTTTGTTTACAATGCCATGTCTGATAGGGCAATCTCGTGTGTGGCATTCTCAGAACATGTCCCAGATATATCTATCTTCTCTTTTTTATTGCTGTGTTGATATCTTCAATTCCAGCTCTTTCCAATACTTCATTATTTGCAATAAATTCATTCCATTGTATTAGTAAAGTTCTTCGTAAACATTTTGTTTAGAAGCTTTTTAATTTTCGTTGAATTGTTTTGTTTGTTTTCCGTATCTCTGTACCACACGTCAATACAGCCAAAACATTGCTATTATACATTTTTAATTTTGTCTTCAATTAAATGTTCTTCTGACTTCCTTATAGTTTTTAATTTCACAAAGGCCATCCATGCATTTTGAAGTCTTTGGTGGACGTCGTCAAGGCATTTTGCAGTTTTGGATATAATGCTGCCAAGGCACTTGAATGTACTAGTTTCTGCAAGGGGATAAAGAGTTATGGGCGTAGTTTCTGATGATAGTCCTAGTACTTCTGTTTTGGATACTTTATTATAAGGCTAACCGTTTCCTCAACTTTTGTTAGTTCGTTTGTTTTTGTTTGCATTTCATGTATACTGTGGTGTATAATAGGTAGATGTCATCCGCAAAATCTAGATCTAAATATGTGCCTTTTGTCCATCCAATGCCTGTTTCAATATATTTACTCATTACAAAGTCGATCACAATTTCAAAAAGTACTGGTGATAATAATATGCAATTTGTCTAACACCAGTATTTACTTCAAAAGGTGTAGATAGTTCTCCTTCAACTAGGGCATAGCAGCTTGCATTGGCATATAATGGTCTTATACTGTTTATTATTTTTGTTGGGATGCCATTAATTACAACTATTTTCCACAGGGCCTCTCGGTCTATGCTGTAATGCTTTTTAAAAGTCCACAAAGTCCAAGATAATTTGGACGTTCCATTCTTTGCTTTGCTCTACGATATTTCTCAGAACAAACAGCTAGTCTGTACATGATCTCCCTTGTCGAAATCCCGCCTGTTCCTGTCTTAGTCTCTCATCTATTGCTGTTCTGATACGAGACACGATAATAGCGCAAAATAGTTTTCCAGGCACTGATAAAAGCGTTATTGCTC